AGGGAAAGACCATCTGGGCTTGTCCTCAGTCTGCAGGCAGAATCAGCTTTACGGACGAAAAGGGTTGGTTTAACTTGTTCCTATACAAAGTAACTCTCTGAGCCGAAGACAAATGGATCCGAACGTTACCTCTAGATCCAGGGCTTCACAAAGCAGCTTCCGCGCGTTCTTTCTGAATGCCTCAGTCTTGGGATCACTCCTGACCTCTATTGAGGGCTTGCCTGAATGGTCTTTGATGAAAGTTCGCCACTCCGTGTAAATATCCTTGGCGAGGCTGGCCACGTCGTGATCTGAATGCTTGCGCATCTTATTCACAGTGTGGCCTGGAAAACAGTAATAGCTCCTTCAGGGCTGGTAGGTGGACAAGATGTAACAGACACCAGATGAATCAAATCGGTGCCAAAGTAGCTGCACACGTCTTTAATTCGGGCAGCGTCAGTAAAAAAAACAGAGCATTGACAAAAGTATAAATATAAAATTATTAGGGATTAAGCCTGAAGCTCCTACTCCTTGACTTCTGCAGTGATTTTTGCCTGAGCTATTAGCAAGGAATTGACTTATACATGTGAAAATTACCTCTCCAAGTCATCAAGGTGTGGAGCAACACTTATGTAATAAAGGGCTATGTTAATTTTCTACATCGATACTAGATCTGATGAGAGCTTGTAAGATTGGCCTACAAAGAATGCTGGTTTTAAACTGAAAACCCCTTTAAGGAAACAGACGTTGCTGGTGATGGCCATATAGCGTTTTAACACACAAACGTCACGGTGACTTCAAGCAGAATCTTTCCAGTCCACAGGGCCTGCCAGTGTGAAAAAGGCTTTCCTGAGAGGAGACAAAAGCGACCTTCTTGCCGTGGGGTATTTCTCTCTGACCGCCAGCGCTGTTGGCCAGGAGATGTCACTGTTCGGCTGCGGTGGCTCTTCCAGCCCCGCCACGTTCAGGCAGGCGCTGGGGAGAAAAAAAATTTCGGGAAAAGCCTGAATAAGCTGAACGGGGCAAATGAAATGACAATTCGGAACTAAGGGGAAAGGGGCAGATCGCATCTCTTTTTCTAAGGCAAAAGGGTCTCTTTGAATAGAAATCCAGCTGCTCTCATGGCAAACAAAGGGCAGCACGAGTGTCTCTCACTTGGGATACTCTCCATCAACAGGAAAGGCAGGGACCGTGTGGTCTGACTTATCCCTCCCCTAAGTCCTATGGAAAAGAGCCAGGCATCAGGCTGTCATTTGCACGGAGCTGCCCACCTGCTGGGAATTTCTCAGTAGGAGGATGCAGGAAGCAGTTCTGGGCCCATCTGAGGAGAATTTTTCACGTGTTCAGAAGATTTAGCCAGGTCAAATAGAAGAGCCATGTCTCGCATGGCAAGAGAGAACTCTGCCAAGCCCCAGATGGGTATCAGGAGAAGGAAGAGGACACAAAGGTGCCCAAAAAGAGGTCTGCAAAAATTTGACCACAGAAGGGGTGATGCAGGCAGGCTGGGAGGTACTAGAGGATGTGTGTCTTTTTCAGTACAAGCTCTGAAAACTGCAGGCTGAGTATCAGCAATTTTGTATTGGCAGCTACACTCATTTCTTAAAAAGCTTGCACGCTAGTCAATCTCTTTTGTACTCACAAGCCAAGCAGACACTGGACAGTGTAATATTCACAGTCTAGATCACACAAGATGTACCTATTTTTGTTGAAAGTAACACTTCCTTGGAAGGTATTTTCTTCTTCAGCTCCTCCAAAGCTTCAATCAGATTCTCTTTTGGTTGCCCAGGAAGCTCGAGCATAGACTTCCACCGTTTTATGTCTTCCACAACCACAACTCTCTGGAAAAGAGAAAAACTGTAAGGAAAGCGGAATCTTCTCATTATAAATAAGGACATTGGCTTCACCCCAGCTAACGGGGCTGTTATCGATACATGAATTATTGATTATGGCATGAACCAGAGGACAGACTACATGATAGCCTACAATGATGGGCAATTGCTTGAGATTAGCAGCCTACTACAAATCCAGACTGAAGTAACTAGAAAGCAAAGTGAGATGATTCACTTTGGTCTGCAAAACTTCAGGCACATAACATCAAACAGCTCCTAGTAGAGAAGTGTTTTGAATTTAAGGAGTCCATTGTATAAATGTATTTTAATAGAAAAAGGGATTAAGATAAAGACAGAATCTGAATCCTGCTCAGACTGGTTTTAAATTTAAAATCATGCCAGCAGGGAGAGAAACAAAGTGTTAAGGAACAGGAATGCAAACTCAAATTCATTGGACGTTTGCAGCAGTTTTCACTTTGGTTTTGCCACAGATCTAGACAGAAGAGACTGCAAACAGTGCAAGTCTCATATTTCGGACGTGAGACATGTTACAAAGATTCAGCAGCGGTCAGACAGCTGTGGTGATGTATGTACGCTTCTTTTGCTTTCTGCCTTAAATTAATAAGCTCTTTGGTGCAGCAAACATTGTGTTTCCTGGTGTGTTTCTACAAACAGATGGCAAAGAGGGGCTCAGCTCTCAGGCAGGTCTCTCACAGGTCCAACCAACAGAAGGGATTTCTTTGCTGGGGAGAGAAGTGTCAGCAAATTGTGTGCCCAGCCTGACCCTGTGCCCCCTAAACGAACAGGAAGGAGCTACGTTATAGCCCATCTCGGTTTAGGAAACCCATCTCAGTGCAGCAGAGCCCTCTGAACTTTGGTTCCTCGTTCTCGGCGAGGATGCTGCCTCAACACTGCAAAGGTTTTCGGTGAAGAACCGGAACGCGGGTAGTTGACGAAAGCGTTCAGCCCACTCGGCCCTACCCA